AACAGACAACCGTGCCAGGAAGCAATCTTCTGGACCGCTCCCGAAGACCACCTCGCGATGTGGTCTTCCAGACCGTCTAGCTTTCTAAATCGCCCCAAACCCTAGTCTAGCATCAGTGTGAACATTAATCTACCAGTAAGCGATCTTCAACCGGAAGTGAGTGTGTTTTGACGGGAAAGTAATGAAAGAGAGAAAGAGATTACAGTACAAGAATAAAAACACAGGATAACATAAGGCAAGATAGAGAGAAAACGATAGAATGATCAAGACAAAGAATATCATAAGAGAAGGTGATAGAAGGAAGAAACGTAGAACATGAGAAAAGATAGAAAGAAAAAATGATAGCATGATGATAACAAACAATAACATAAGAGATGATACGAGAAAAACAAAGAATGGCGTAACAAAAAACAGAGAGAGAAAATGATAAAGAATAGACAAGGAAGGGATGGAGGAGTGATATGTTAATGGAGACTGAGGAAGAGAGAACAAATACAACAGAGAGATAGATAGGCAGAGGGAGGGATAGAGATATACAAAGAGAAACAGAGATAGCAATAAGAGATAGAGAGATAAGGAACAAAGACAGGAGGATGCAAAGATAGAGAGAGAAAGAGAGAGAGAGAGAAAGAGAGAGAAAGAGAGAGCATGAGGGAAGATAATAGAGATAGTCAAATATAGGAGAAAGAGACAAAAAGAGAGTAATGAAATATAGAGATAGAGCGATGATTAGAGAGAGAGAGAAAGAGAGAGAGAAAAGGATAGAATAGAGAGAAAGAGAGAAGAGGAATAGAGGGATGCATACATAGATAGAGACATGTAGACAATACGAGACATAGGCAGAGATAGAGAAAACCGCTCAAGGAAAAGCAATTGAATAATGACTAGTGCATCCAAGGAAATGACCTTGCTATTTCGCGGCGACAAATTTGATACCTGCTGCGCAGTGAAGCTCAAAATAATTTATGTGATTAACCACTTGCATGAATACAGGTACCAATAAACTCAAATTTTGCAGTCTACAAGTATTTTCAGTTCAAAACCACAGATTTTATTAGCTGCTACTGAATACAGGTAGCAAAATACTCCTACTTACCAATTTCACAAGTAATTCCGCTTTTGCATCTCATTTTTACGGCTTAGATTGTAACTCTGGGTAAATTTGGGTTCAAATCCACAAATTGAATAACCTTCCACTGTCAGGTAATAACATATCTACTGAGAACCATATGGGCGTTAATTTGATTTAAGGGAAAAGGAGACTGCTCTTGTTGACTCTGTTTTGCTCTTTATACATGCATAATGATTGGTTACATACACTTTTATACCCTTTTACAATTAGAAATGAATACTATTCATATCATATTTATGGGGATAGGTTTTTTCTCACTGCATTTAAAGACAAATGTTGCTGATTTGGGAATTAAGAACAAGTAAAGCACTAACACTATTGCTCATAATTCTATGAAATATGAGTTATCAATGTCTTTGCACATTCAGAAAACAATAAAAAGTCCCATCATCAGCAGAATATGGCTGCTTTATTGATTTATGCCGTGAAATCTGATATTGCAACATTGCAGTACCTTCTCACACATACTTCGGTCATGCTCTGATTTTTTTGTTTAAAATGCAAAATCACGATAAAGGCGCTGAGACCTAGAAGTATACGAGTTAATGCCCTTCTAGCTCCAATATGATTTGTAAAAGTACAAGAGTCTAACATGTATAACTTCTGCTTGTATTATCAGCATTCAGAGCCAGAAGGGCATTTACTAATATCACTTTCCAAAGAGTTATCACCCTTCTAGCTCTCCGCGCCGCTATCGTAATTTTGCCCTTTAAAAAAATAATTCAGAACATGACCAAAGTATGTGTGAGAAGGTACTGCAATGTTGCAATATCAGATTTCAGAGCATAAATCAATAAAGCCGCCACATTCTGCTATCCCGCGCGTGCAATATGGAGACAAAGTCACTATAAGCATGATATATTACATGGGAACATTTCTGGGACATAAGAGTACTTTCACATCAAATCTACATTTCAAGCTTCATGTTCCACTTTTTTGTTCTTTTTTTCTTCTTTTGTCTTTATTTATGTGTATTGTGTCTCTTTCTAGCTCCCATTTTGACAGTTTCTGCTATGACCCCCCCCCCCCTTTTTTTTTTGCTATCTCCCAATCACATACCCTCTCTCTCTCTTCCTCTCTCTTTCTCATTCTCTCTCTCATTCTCTCTCTCTCTCGCACTTTCTCTTTCTCACTTTCTCATTCTTTTTCTCTCTCTCTCTCTCTCATTCTCTCTCTCTCTCTTTCTCTCTCTCATTCTCTCTCTCTCACTTTCTCATTCTTTCTCTCACTCTCTCATTCTCTCTCTCTCTCTCTATATCTCATTCTCTCTCTCTCTCTCTCTCTTTCTTTGAAAATATTTTGTAAGCAAAAGTAGCTACATATCAAAATTAAATCCCATAGTGCACTTTAAAAAAATATTTTTAGGCAAAGAGTAGTTTCACATCAAAAGTAGATCTCATCAACAATACTTTTTTTCTTAGGGGAATGTTAGTTTAACATTTAAGAACTAGATCTAAAAGATTACTTTTTTAACTATTAGGAATGAGTAATTTCACATCAGAACTAGATCTCATAGGCAATTGCACTTTCACATCAAAAGTAGATATCCGGGGGGACATGATTTTTCTCTTCTTTCAGGAATCGTTATTTCACATAGACATGAGAGAATGAGAACATGAGAACTGGACATTCTATACATTCTCTTCCAGGAAGTCTTTCTCCTTCTCCCTGGTCTCCCTCTTTCCCTCCCTTGCTCCCCCCCCCCCCCTCCCCTCATTCCCTCTTTGTTATCTGTCTCTCTCTCTGTCTCTCTCTCTCTCTCTCTCTCTTCTTTTTTCCCCCTCTCTCTTTCTCATTTTTTTTCTCTCTTCTCGCTTTCTTTTTCTCTCAATCCCTCTCTTTCTCTCTCTCTCTCTCTCTCTCTTTCTCTCTCTTTCTCCATCTGTCTGTCCTTCTATCTGTCCCTTCCTCCGTCACTATCTCCCTCCCCTTTTTATCTGATTTTTCAACTTTGCTGGCTTCTGTGAATTCATGAAGAGACCTCAGTGTAATAATTAAAATCATCCTTTTCTTAAAAGTAGGTAAACCCTATTTATACAGGTTGAGGATACTTACACATGTCTACCTCTTCACTACAATCTACCCCTAACCCCTCCCTATCCCTACCCCTAACCTGCCCCTCCCCATGAGGTAGAGGTCAAAGTGGTTTTATCCCATTTAATTTGATGTGGTCTTGAGGGTAAATGCTAGATTGGGGGCAAAATAAACACCTTCTAACACTCCAATTACTCAAAAGTGGTTTATGTGATGATAAATCACTGTTTCATTTCCGTCAATGCCTGAAGGCTCAGTAAGATACACATCTACTGACGAGAGCGAAAAGGGTGTTAACACCCATATCTGTACACAGACTTAATGCCCTTCTGGCTCTCAACGGATGACATTGAATTTATTCTACAGCTACATATATCAGACTACGGTCCACCTCTGCATGAGGTAGTCCTATAAGTGAAAGAAAAAATTAGTTTGAAGGATTTGTAGATGTAAATATGATAATTTCTATATGCATTCCTTGTGTACAATATGTTTCATTTTCTGTTCTTCAATTCTTAGTTTAGAATCTTGCCCTCTGTAAAAAACAATTTTTTGCTTTAGTGCTTTAGTATCTATACAGAGATATCCTCTATTAAATCTTGAAAGTGGTGGCGAAGGAATACAATGCATGTTTAACCTGATGAATATAAAAAGTGTTGATAGAACACACTCTTACTATCTAGGCCAAAATTCAATTATCTTTGCATAAAAAATAAGAGGAAAATCAAACCCATTTCTCATCCCTCTCCTTATTATTCCATTGATTAATCCATAGACTACTGCATTCTTAAGCTTCCAATAGCTTAATACAGGACAATTCGGTACCTGGAGGCAATGGGTTTATACAAATATTAGGAAGCACAACGCAACAGATCTGATTGGAAGCCTCTCTAGGTAAACAGTCGTGTTTGCTGAATCTTTCAGCCCCTACGCGTACATGACAGAGTGATTGTGAAGAACATGCTAATGTTAAAGTCCTTTTTCTCACCCCGTCTCCTCTTTCTATTCCACCGTTACAGTAGCGGAGCAAAACGTAGTGGCACCAAAAGACATGCAAGGAACACAAACCGCATAATTGTTCAAAATCATCACGCAGACATAAAATTTCATCGCTCAGATACAGAAATGGTAAATGCATACACCTTCTCAATGAGGCTTAAAGTGACTCAGCAACATTGTTGAAAGTTGATGAAAAAAATGTGTAATTTTTTGTATGAAATGTTACTTATTATATTCTTTCTACTGTACTAACCCTCTCAAATGCAAAAACCCAGAGAAAATTCTCAAACCACAAAGATATTTATGGTTTTCTTTGAAGGCGTCACTGTGCAACACCCTCTAACAATGATTAACAGTAAATTCTCCCAACCATTTTTGAATTTTCCCAACCGTTTTTCCTTGAAAAAAAAGACATAAGACAGGCTTTCAAGAAATTGTCAACACTTGAATGTTCTGGAATGGTATATTGAGCCAATTCATTGCTTTGTGACAATTTACATTCACCTAAAATTTAATTAAATTTTAATGATATAGTTGGGAAAATTAAAGAATTGATCAGGTTTTTCCCAATTTTTATCATTAATAATGGTCCGTTTTCACTCAAACTTTCAGATTATCTTTAATTGTACTACCTTAGCACCATTTTCTCTCATCTAAACAATGTTACGAAGTCCCTTTAATGTTGGCTACACTTACATTCAGATGTGTCCAACAGAACTTTTAATTAACAGAAATCACTGACTTTAACGCATTTTGCATTCTGGACACGTCTTTTCATGCCACTCAATCTCACGAAGCTCACCGAAAACATGACAGAAGTATAAACACAACTCACCTGGTTGGAAGCTTCTTCTAGTACACAGTTTCGATTGCCGAAGCCTTCTGCTCCAAGGAGTACATGACCCAGGGATTGAGAGGAACATACCAGGTTGAGCTGATCACCCTGTAAAACAATGAAAAGAAGTATGATTAATAAATAAGAGCTGTATTTAAAATAATATATATTTAATATATGAATGAGGTAAATGAGAACTGTCAGCTTTCACAAGAATATTTCAAAACTCTAGTGGTTGAGAAATTAACTATTATCTTAGACCCACTGAATATGTCTTGATTTTGGTATAACACAATATCCACAGAAACCATCCCAAGTTATCTTTGGTTTTGGTAGTGTACTCAATCAGAACAGGCATTCGGTATTTCTCAAATTGATGACATAAAAGTACAGATGTACCAAGCATTGGAAAGTGAGAATTTGCAGGAAATTTCAGAATGAATAATGAAAATCTTAGCCACTCTATCACACAGTATCAACTTCAATTATAAGTTCATATCTGCATGAGATAACAAGAGAGGCAACCTTGGCTGATTCCATGTGACATCCTAATATATTCACCAAACGTATCAGTTTTTAACATTCCATTTCTTTTCACAGACTTGGAAAAACATCCCCCCTTTCCATAAGGGAAATTACCTGTTTTGCCACCTTGAAAAGATCCCTAAAAACTTACCATTTCCCCCTAATGATCCAAGTGATCTACTCCCTGTGAGACTGTAATTGTTTTTCCTCTTTTCATATATTTGTATTGGTAAGAGCTTTGGTACTTATTGTTTTAAGTGCTCCTAAATACTGTATAATTATCGTTATTATGATTGTGCTACAAGAATACCTAATGTATCACATGATATGTATATTACATCTCAAATTCCTCTTTTAAAAAATATGCAATTCACATATGTGTACATTACATGTCAGATGTTTGCTATAATAATTTTGCAGCTAATTCCCATTTCATCTTCCTTAAAGATAAGAACCAATTCCCAGGAATGTGTACATTGTGCCTTGACATAATTCAATTACTTTGATTAATCAAGTGATGTTTTATGTTGTTTACAATCAACTTGTATAACATTTCCATAATTATTATGTAAACTAAAAATAATGTCATGTCTCTTGCTATTGCTAAATAGTATAGACAATCATGCCATATCATATTACATCACATTTCTTTTCTTATTCAATGTTATATCTGAACTAAGCGTACTCAAATCACCCACGACTAGATCACCCACACATGAATATTCTATTTTCTTTCCTTTCTATGCTAAAAGCCTCTCTACAATAGCATACAGTTTTGTGGATTGCATTATGCAAGGCTTTTAAGAGATGTCACCAGTCAAACACCCCAGACATCACAATATATTGCATCAAATTCCATCTGATGACCCTTATATCTAGATGTGGCAGGGAGCCATCATTTCTAAAAACCATTTATGCCTCTTCCGGGACTTTTCTCTCTAAGTAGTCTGGGAAAAGGGAAGAGGAGGAAACAAGCAATAAAAGCAAGAATAGATGACTATAAAGTGATGGATTTGGCATCAGAGCGATTAAGGCTCCCTCTTTCTTTAGTGTTGGTTTTGAGTTTGTATTGCCATTATTTGATGGATGTAATGTGTAAGGAGTTTCTCAATGATTTTGTTGTTGTTGAGTGTGGAAAGACAACTATAAAGTTTATATCAAATTTATGATGGAGATGGTAACTTGTTTAAAGGTAAAGACCAGTATTGGAAACGCCCCAATTTCAAAAAAGGAAATGGAAGCTCTCATTACCAATCATATGAAAGAATATGTTTTGACTAATACATGATGATAAAAAATTTGCCGGGAAACCGCCTACTAATTCATATATTTGGTAAATTTGTTTCTCTCATGGTCTGTGAGAGATATAGGGTAGTCCCATATACATCTTTCTGTGTATAGTGCTTGTAACTTTACGAAGAATGGGCCAAATTTCTTATCATTTTGATGATTCCAGAACCTTGCAGATGCTAGATGCTAGATGATCAACATTTTCTGATCGATTCCACAACATTTCTTTCACAATGCAATCCCATGACCATAACTGGTCTTTACCTTTAATATGAACAGTTTATTATAGATTAATCCAAAATCCAGAATTTATCCAAGAAATTAGTTATATCACAATAAAGAGGTTATAAGATATTTAGTCCCTAAAGGTTTGACTAACTTAATTCATACATGGAAAAATTATGTGGAGAGTGTGAAAGTGCTAATATAATTTTACTCAAGAAGGCTCACGCCACATCAAATATCTGCAGTGTCTCCTAGAATACTATTAAAAACACATATTCAGACATACAGTAGCTACTGTATTTGTAACTGGCTAGACACAAATAAAAGTCAGCATGACGTATCCCCTCCTCTCTCTCTCTCTCTCTCTCTCTCTCTCTCTATCTCTCTCTATCTCTCTCTCTCTCTATCTTTCTCACTCTCGCTCTCTCACCTTTAGACATAGCCATATTTAAATTCCCATAAATCTTTCAGCCTACCCGTAAATGAACTCTGCAAATACTCGTTAGAGAATGGCTTTCCGACAATATTTATGATGTGTGTTTGCCTACCTACACTCATCATTGACCGAGACTATCACTCATACTGTCCTTTGGGGCTCGAGCGATCCCTTTCATTTCTCTTGCGTGTGTTTACACGTAATTCACTAACCTGGGAGGATCGTAAATATACACAACCTCTCCACCCGTAATCAATGGGTGGAGGGAAATAATTTCTATTTTCACATTTATAAACCCCAAGAAAAGATGTATAGATGAAGTTGCATACTGGTCATGCGAATGCAGCATTTTGAGGGAAAGTGTCTTAAGATTCGTGTCAGAGATTAAAATAACCCAGGAACACTTTGGCCTGTATCCTGTAAGATTTCAGCCCAATGTCGGACTTCGGATTTTGTTCAAAATGGGGTTTAACAAAGAATATTAGTCAAAGGTCTAAATTTTCCTTTGACAACTGTGATCTCAGATCCATGATCAGGTTTAAATATCAAACAGAATAATCCCTGAAGAAAATTGTCACAAGATATTATTTTTGCTTTATATACAGCAGGTGGAAGGGGGTGACCAGTTCCAGGAACGGCAGGTGCTAACGAATTGAAGCTTATTTTCAATGCTGGTAAAAGAGTTGTATTGTAAGAGGAACCAGCTTCAATTGCTCCTGAAAGATTCCCATGCAGTTAATAATAATAATAATAATGATAAAAATAATGAAAATAATAATAATAATAATAATAATAATAATGACAACAATAACAATAATAGTAATAATAATAATAATAATAATAATAATAATGAGTAGAAAAAAAGAAGACAAAGAACATCAATCCAATTCTCTAAGACTCTTTTTTCCATTTTTATAAGTAGACAGGTTTTAAAAGGGATTTTCCCACAATTAATTGCTTGCAAAAACTTGTGATACATGACCAACATGTTTATCATTATCTGTATACCCTGGAGCCTTGTATGCATCACGAGCCACACTTACAATGAAACCCTAAGTTGCCATCCAACAATAACATCGGTGTGAAGAGATAATTACATTTATCGAGATTTGAAGTGATGCAACAAGTTTCCCCCAAGTCATCCAATTAATACCCTCAAGAACTGCTCCTATCACTCAATCTGCTTGAGTTCTTTGAGACTTTCTTTATTAGCCAAAATTTTCACAATAGCCAGCTCATTCTGCTCAAAGAAAATCAGCCCGATCACAACTACCTTGAGCAAATTTGAAGTGAACTAGTGAAGATGCAAACAGCAAGCCATTTCATCCATCATGCAGTGACATGATTAAAGAAACCGGGTGCTGTGTCCTGAATCACTACAAAAGTCGGATATCAAACCTGTCATTAAAGACTGAGAAACTACAGGGACTAATCTGGAGAAACAAGGTTGACAATGGAGGGTCACAATGTTTCATATACTGAGAGCCAGAAGGGCGTTATTAAACTCATATCCTTTAAAACAGAGTTACCATGATTCTAGCTATCAGTGGAAAGTATCTTGATACATTATCTGAGGACCTGCGTACTAATACTCTCAGTGATGCTTGGAAGAAGAAACAAGGGAAACGCTCTCGGCGGTCTCGCCTGCATAACGCAATTCAATATGATAAACCAGAACGTCAATGACGTAGCGCTCATCCGCATCTCACAACAACAAATATCGTAAATTTTATGTGGTACACTTTTGAACTGGTCAAAAATAGAAATTTGATGCCCTGGAAGGGACATAATTTCATTTCATTTGCATAAAGTACCATAAATAATCAATGGAGCAAAATCTCACAATTCTGTGTAGAAGTTTATTGTTCCAAATTTAGCTCTACCAGATAAGGCAAAATCGGTCAAGAAATGAGGGAAAAGAAGCAATTTTTGTTATTTTTGGAATAAATTTGCATAAATTACCATAATTAATTAATAGAGAACAATTTCAAAATTCTGAATATAAGTTTAGTGTACCAAAGTTAGCTCTACGATATAAAGCAAACCAAATCAAAATCGGTCGAAAAATGAAGGAGAAGAAGCCTTTTTTGTGATTTCGAATAAATTTGCATAAATTAGCATAGATAATGAATTTCATGATTCTGTGTAGAAATTTTAAATCCCCTCCTAGCCCTATCATATAAAACAATCAGAATCAAAATCGGTTGAAAAATAACGAAGAAGAAGCATTTTGAAAATCTTAATGTTGATGCCACAACAAAGTCTAAGTTTGTTGACCTTAAATGGCCTTTGACCTTAACTTAGTGACCTGAAATTCTACTCACATGATTGGAGAGACTTGATAACCCTATAGTCCAAGTTTCATTGACTAAGAACTTATACTTTCAAAATTATATCAAAAATTCAAAAACTTAACCTTAGGTTAAGTTTTCGATGATGATGCTACAACATAGTCAAAGTCTGTTGACCTGAAATGACCTTTGACCTTGACTTTGTGATCTGAAATTCTACTCACATGATTGGGGATACTTGATTACCCTATAGTCGAAGTTTCATTGACTAAGAACTTATACTTTAAAAATTATACCAAAAATTCAAAAACTTAACCTTAGGTTAAGTTTTTGATGT